CTCGTGCCATTGCGGCCGGGCCGGAGACGGGGTCGCGTCCTTTCCGCTCGGTTCGCGTCGCGGAGCCCTGGAATGTCACCGGCACCTCCTGACCGCTAAAATGAAGACGTGTTCTTCACCATGCTCTTAACCGCCTATCGCACGGGCGAAACCTTTTCTACCGCGGGTCTTACAGTCTCCGAAACAAAACAAAAAAAACAAGAATGCCGCAAGAAAATACTTGGAGACATATTGACGATGAAGAAAATATCTTTATCAAATCGACAAATTGTTATAAGAAGTCACATAATCGCATATCTTATTTTCATATCAAATCCGATGAAGGCCGAGTTTAGTGACATATATTTGACGCAAAAATACAACAGTTTGATTTTAAGTTTTATGAGATTATCTTCCAAGCTGTAGTTGAAATTAAAATAAGAATAAATATAAAAATTTTACAATTTATAACTAATTTTTGCCGAATAGATTATTCCGACAAAGGTGCAAGTACTGAATCACACCAAGTAAATGAACGAAATATCAGGTCGTGTAAAACTGTTAAATGTTCTTCCAGATGTATTTAATACTGCTTCTTTTTTCCCCCCTAAATATTTCTATAAAGTGGGCGTGCTTTTTACGAAGATTCGAAGATGGGTTGAAGAGAAATCATCCGAATCCCGGCAGCGGCATCCTTTAATTGTGGAATGATCATCTCGAGACCTTCCAAAGAACCGGAGGGGGAGAGACGTCCAGTGGAGCGAGAACTACGACCGCGATTATTTAGCGTAGCTAAGATCTGTCGGTACAGGTTTTTTGTCGCGAGAGCTTATTATGAATAATGATTTATGTTTTGTCTGTGCCAGTATCGGGGTGTTCCTTTAGAGAGCGAATAAACGAGAAGGCGAGATAAAGACGGGCTTACGGCAACGGTGCGCGGCCGAAAGAGATGTATAGAGGGGTTAATAACGGTCGCGTGTTGTAATACCTACCATTATCCACAAACCGACCGCCTAACAAGCTACCTGCTAATAATACACGACGGCACAGCACACACGATCACGTGCGTGATCTTTTTACTTGGAGCCTATCGAGTTTTTGTCATTGCGATTGCTGACCGTGGGGCAATATCGTATGTCGATCAATCTGAATTAACTGCCGGCGTTAAATTGCTGGGAAAACGCAAATTAGAAACGTGAAAGTTTTTGGAATCCATAAAAGTGATATAAATTATCGATATTCGCGACTGTACAGCGTTCGCTGCACCTTGTACTTTGCGTTGTTGAAACGGATATGTATGCAGATTTTTGTCATCTCTCGGATAAAGATCCGTCAAATCTCATGCTTACGTTATATGTCGGTCTTCAATGAATTTTAACGCACCAGTTGTCCCTATAAACGTCTATCTGTTGTCCTTATGTTTCATTACAGTGTGTCCGCTACTTTGTAATAAAATGTAAAGCGCGGTATGATCTGTTCGCTTGAACGATTCTTCGAATTAATGGTTGTTACACTATAACGCTAGGGTATACGAGAACTCGGTCGCGACGATACGAGGGGATATAAGCAGGCGGTATAGAGTTTGCACAAAAGGCCACTCGGCAAAAGTCAATCAGTAGTCCAGCAATTATATCCGGTCGAGTGGATCGTGCTCGATCGCCTTCGCTCCATCTGTCATCGGTCGGCGATCCGGGAGCAAAGAAACAGCCGAATAGAGAGGAAAGAGGTGAGGAAGGAGCAGCTTTTACGAGCCGCGAGATGACAGGGCGCAACGGCGAGCGCCAACTTCCGGCTAGCATTTTTTCATCGCCCAGTTACTGTTCTCCGTCTCCGTATAATTTCTTTGTGCACGTCTCGCAACATGTCTCTATGCCGCAGACAGTCACGGAACGTGTGGAATGTATATGTAAACGTTCACGTACGATAATAGAGGTTGGTGTTGGAGGACCAAGCGTGAGTCAAACATATGGAAATAAATTCGAAAATAAAAAATAAAAGAAAAGCTAAACGTTTTGTACATAGTTTTCTACGTTAAATTTTCATATTTAACTCAAAAGAACATAAGCTATGTTAGAACAATATCTTTTATTAAGAAAAGAAGTGAAACTTTTTGAAATGTATATATATATGATAATATATATACACGTTCTATATATGATAATATAGGCGCGCATTCGTCAATAAAGCTTCGAGATTATTTTTTAATCTGATCATTATTTTATATCCAACTGGTTAAAAATATTGCGTTATTGTAGATATTATTTATGAATATAAAAAATTAAAAAACACATAAGACAACGATAAGATAACCGAAATAATGCCATGCTACATGAGTGTTGGCCGTGCAAGTTTTTACGCGATAAACGGCGAAATGCAGAGGTGAGCAGAACTGGTTTCGGCAACAAGCTCTTCAATTATTTGAAACTTGACAGTGCCAATAGAAAAGAAGTAATATACGTTTAGAATGTTGCCGATCGTTTTAACGTTTAGGATGGTTGACTTCCATCTATGCGTGTACACGGCGTGTTTGTTCGTCATTCAGTCGCAATTACGGATCGGGGCCGGACCGAGAAAAACGCCCAGCGCATCGCTTGCCAATTACTGGAAGGAAGGGCAAGGGAGGTTCCAATTTGTTGCAAACATCTCTCAACGAAGGGCGGAAGCGGCACGGAAGGGTGTGGCGGTATTCGCCGATCGCGAATCGCGTGGCTATTCCGACTTTGCACGGAATCCTTTAAGAGCGTGAAAGAGCGTACATACATATGGCTTGTTACCCTTTATTTCGTGACGCCAATTCTGCGGAAACTTGCAATTTTACTGGGATCCGTAAAAAAAAGGTAACTCACCTTAAACAGGAATTTTTTTACAATTTAATGTAACGTATATAAAATTAATAACACCGAATTGAATTTTTTTCTCTTCGTACATAACTGCCATTGTCGCGTATAGAAAAAAGCGTAATTATTAATATAAATTCGTTTAACATGAGTTTGTTATTCGAGTTAATTAAGTTGTAAGTGACTTGTAAATGACGGTAAATGATACGACGAGGCAGCGTGGGCGTAGAGCCGAGCGGTCGGGTAATCAAAAATGCAACGCGGGTTCCGTGCCGACGGTCTTTGTCGGCGAACTCGTGCGAGCAAATGCAAAAGGTATGAGTGTAGTTGAAACAGCACGAGCTGGCATGGAGAGGTGTACGGCAGAGAGCGGTGTCTGCTGACGCAGTCCAGGGCTTCCTCTTTGGCCAGACTTCCTGTCGGAAACGATCGTCGGGATTCACACAAGGTAAGTGCTCATTCCAGTGACGTGATTTAATGTCGCGTGTCTACGCCTAACAATAAGAATCTAATGTAAAAATATATTTGTTACAATAGTAAATTAGGTTAAACAATTATTAAGAATTAAATATAATAAAGACAGTAGTGCAAGATTTTTAAGAATATGATAAAATGATTGCAAAAAAAAGATTTCATTTTATCTTATAAATCTATACTTTATTAATAGTTTTATTTATTTTTTATTTTTTATAATCCTTTCTTTCTAATATTCAACTAGGATAAAATTCATATATTTGTTCATTTTTAACGCATGAATTATTCTTGAAAATAAAAGCGTAAAGATGCGAGGTATTATATTTTGGTAATTTAAGAAATGTTATAATATTTTAATTTTATATGAAAAAAAAAATCTATACTCTGGATAAAAATCAAAGACCGCGAGAGAATAAATCGTCGTAGAACGCTGAATGAATAGGCTAAATGGAATGTCATTGAGTGTTGAATCATGAATACGATACTATATGTCTGTGGCAGCAGACGGAGTCTCACGTATGGCGACATTGCATAAATGTCCTGCCACTACTTACCTCGCAATAGCGATACAGTTTCAGGAATTGAATAAGAGATCCGCTAAAAGAGAATGAAGAATTGATTGGGTCAATGAATGCCGGTGACAACACTTAATATCGTGTTTCATACAGTAGGTATAAAATATCTGATGTTTCATTAATTCGACGTGTGGTCGCCGTAGGTGGTCGAAGGTGTGGCGTATCGGGCGATGCCGAAAATCACAACATCTTCGACAGCGCATCAACATCCGGAGGAAGACACCTCGCTTGCGCATATTAATTATGCTACTTGCCAATGCTAATTAATTCGTCTAATTAACTAGGCGACGCGGATAATACGTGCGTACGTTAACGCCTCCGTTTAAACATGATAGACGTACGCGACAGTCTATCATGTTTAATGTATGCGTCTTGCGACACAGTTTCTATTTTAATTTCAAAATACTTTTCAAAATTGCATTAAAAAAAAATGTTTTATTTATAATTACTATTCTAATCTTTTCTCATTGATCTAAAGGCAGTTATTTTGCGACAAATAAGAAAATAATTTTAAAACTAACTTATTATACTTATCGAGAATGATTAAGATGTTTTAATAAGTTTAGCAAATAATTGTAAAATTTGTTAAAAATTTTTCCAGAGATAACAAAAGGAACAAAAGTCAGCAGAAGTGTAAGATTTCTTTTAGGGCTTTTATTAAGATAAATTGCACACTTTATACACAATGCCACCTAACTGAAGGTAAAATTTTTTATCGAGTAGAATTCTTTTATCTCTTCCAGATCAGATTTTTCTTTAGCACACCAGGTAAAGAACCTGAAAGAAGACTGATTTACAATGGACTACTGCAGTAAAATTCAACCAGGTTGTTCAGGAGAATAGATAATGTTACTCTACAGATTTTAAGATTCTTACTGCCGGTATGAAAATCAATAAACATATTGTTTCAATCAATATTTTCTCTTAGCACGAAGTAACATGTTGAATGTAATATTTAAAAAAAGAAAATCTCTTTAAGTCAAACAGTAAATCTAAAATAAAATTGTTGATGAAACGAATAAGTAAAAATAAATGCAAAAACTTTGTTTAAAAGAATATTGAAAAATATTTTATTGGCAATAGCAATAGCATTATAATCTGATTAATCTGTCCGTGTTTTAAGTTTTCATTGGGTATGAGTAATTGTATTGAAAAGTTCACGGTTGATCGTGAACGCAGCCCGATACCAGAAGAGCGGCGAGTTGTGACAGCTTCTTGGAAAAGATTAGGCGTCGTTAGCGGCCTTCGCCGGACATCGACCCTACCGGTAGTCGGTACTTTCTTTCTCAGACTCCGTTGTGCGTGCGTTTCAAGATGTTGCGGTCCCAGACATCAAATGTTTCCGTATCGAACCAGAAAGGCGTCTGCTTCTCGGCGAAAACCTTGTCAGATTACACAGATTCCACGCAAACCCGTCAGGTTAGTCCGCCATGTTAATCATAAACGACGGCTCACCTCAGCCGCCATTTTGGTACCATTCGCTCTTTGTGATAGTTATTAGAATCGCATGAGTGGGCTTGAAAAGTATGGCGGTTAGTAATTATGCCGGAAAAGCCACAGGTGAGTCTGCCGGAAAATGTTGTTTTAGCAAAAGTTATAAAAACGAAATAATGGACTTGCGTATTTGACTTTAATTTATATTTTCTAAGTTTATTACGTATAAAAACTTAATCACGCTAAACATAAGAATTTCAAATTATTATTATTATTATTTTGAATTTGTATTTATTAAAATAAAAATGCACATTTAAATGAAAATGTTTAATTCTAGAATAAATATTAGGTATATATAATATTAATCAAGTTTCTCTTTCGTTTTCTCTCCTCTACATATGTTATGTTTATTTTTTTAATCGAAAGAAGCGTATTCCATGCATCCAAAAGCGTTGAAATTTTCGAGTCAGCAATTATGGCTCAGGTAACACGAGGCCTCGAGGCCTTAGACATGATTTCAATGGAGAGAATAGCATCGCTTTGTTGACAATAACCAGTGCTTACCATGCTAATTGCGACATTGTGAAGCCTGTATTGTTACTGCAAAATCAGTTCATGACATGCCTGTTAAAATAAGATAAAGGATTTAATACTCTCGAGTGATCATTTGCAATTTAAGAAATATAGATTTATCAAAACGCAATATTTTAATTAACTCTTTAATCTTATCTTCCATTGCATATAACTTTTTTCGGGATTTCGGGAGTTCAATTCCTTACACATTCTTTTATTACCTTCAAATATAGTCTATCTTATTATAATATCTTCTCTGTTGCATAGTTCCTATGATTATACGTAAATAAATATCATCTTTTCAAGATATAAATCTTTTTTATAATAATAATAATTTATCGTAATTTTTCTTTTCTAAAGTGAATATTTTTCCTTCTAAAAAAGAGGCTAGAAGTATTTTATAACCTGTCTCATTTTTTTTAAAGCAAGCATTGTATGCATCCCTTCAGAAAAAGCTACATGTGTGTTCTATTATCTGTCTTGAATACAATATTAAAATGTATTTCTCTTTAAAATACAATATATATATGTATATACACAGTTTATGCATACGTGTATACATTTATATAAACTATAACAGTTCTATTAAACCCGTTGCAAATATAGTTTTATTGACACAAAGAGACATCATAGCATGAACTGGTAAAACAATTTCTGACTTGCCTTAACAGTATCCTTTTGATCCAGATACTGGGGCGTGGCGTTGTTCGATGTCGGTTCTACCATTGGTTCGTATCTTTTAAACCATTCACTGACGCCGATATGCTTTACAGTAGCACTCCAACATATTATCGATCGTTCCATCAGGGTAATTGAGAACTTATGGCATACAGGAATAGCAGTCAAATATGTTATCATATATTCTTTATGGACAGAATATTCATATACTTTACTTTCAAAACAAAAATGTGAAACAAAAATGAAAAATTACTTAACTGAAATAAAAGAATTTTTTATTACAATACCCTAAATATATTATAAAAGCTCATTAACAAGATGCAGAACAAAAAATTATACCGAAAATTATATACAACTATATTTCAAATGTATTAATTTTTAACTAATAACTGTATTAATTATTTTACACATGGTAAGTATGTATATTATCATATAACGTACGACACGCTAAGGCAACGTAACACGTAAAGATAATAAGATAAGATATTGTTACACGTAATACAGTCATTACATGTTGCATATGCATTGCGTAGTGTATAGACTAATATACCATTACTGGTTTTTCTAGGGCAAGGTGTACCTCCTCATGGGGTACCTCTCACTGTGCCCGAGAACAGACTCGTGGAAAACGTGAACTGCTTCCGCGTAAACTACCGTCAATTCTAGCAAATCATGAAAATTCATAGGAATCGCTTCCCGGGATCGTGTTACGACCTCGTAGCTTTTCTACGAAGCGACGGAACTGAACGAACCAAAACCAACCGGACTGCCTTTCGACGGATAGCTCACAAGGTTTCTGAGTGGCGCTAAATAAATTATTCACGCGCTGCGCGTGCATTTTCCGATAATGATCGGCAGATAAACTTGGATCTATGCCACACGTGCGATTACAGTCAGCATTGAAGAAAAAAGATGTTCAATATCAATAATTTACTTGGTACAATGTGCGCTGCAGTTTATATTCTTACTTCGTCGATAAAACTTTAAGAAAATGTATACTTACTTTTAATTGTCAACAGTAAATTACAATGGGATGGAAAAACTTATAAAGCATATGTTATGTTTACTATTTATTTCTTTTTTTAAAGATAAGATTTCTTATTTTTAATTACCTAAAAGTGCAAAATTCAAAATTTACAAAATTAATAAATTTTATAATTTTAAGTTTTAGCTAATAGATAATAATTGCACTAAAATAAAGCGTTACAATTAAAAGATTAATTATAGTTAAATTATAAAATTTAATTATAGTTAAAATAAAATTGTGTTTGAACCTTAACATCAAATTAATATCAAATGTAAATATAAATTGATATAAATGTATAATTGATGTACCAATTTTACCAATATAAACCAAAACTACATTGTTCTCGATTTGCAATATTCATAAAATTTATTTAAAAGATTTAAATATTGAACTATTGCATTTCAAATAAAACATCTTACCTATCTAATGAATCTCGCATATCTAATTAGTTATCTCATTCCGCTATCATTAATTATTAAAACAGCGGCTAATCAATTAATTTCCATGATTTGTGTGAATAATTGTACTTCATGATGCAATATTGTCGGTAAGTCTACGCGAGAAAATTCGTAGTTAATGGTTAAGTAATTCTAATGCTCGGCAATCAAAGCGATGGAATTTCCCAGGACAAATAAAAGTTGCTGGGTAAATCCCCGGTCTCTTTAATATCTTTGAAATATAAATAAATCTATATAATACAAAATACTTGTATTACATATTTCTATTTTATAAAAATGTGTTATGTATAAATAAAGAGATTGTGGATTAAATAATATACCGTATCAAGAAAATTTTAAATATGTATCAAGCGAATAGAATTGTAAATGTGAATCGGAACTCGTATTACTCATATTATATAATCAGCATAGCTTGAATATTTTTTCCTGCAAAAGCTTTTAAAAACTATTATAAATAACAATAAGTTATAAATTCCGTTAAACAAATTTAAATCAAAATAAAAGACTTATTTTAAAAAACATATTAAAAACTTATTAAATTATACAAGACAAACGTGCATTTTTAAATAAATTTCAGATTAATTCTTGTTTTTCAAATCAAATTAAATAATTATAAAACAATTTGGATATTTTATTAACTAGAATCATCAGATTATATCGTATTAAAGTGTTATATGTAACTATAGCAGTATAGCATATACAAACAGCGTTTTATATAATTTTGTATTCATCAGAAAAGATTAAATCGAGAAAAAAATAAATTCCTATTTTAAAACTTTAACACTTCCAAACATATGTTTCATAACACACTCGATTTGTAATTCGGCCAAAAATGGCGGACGTTTAATTTTAGATCTACGCAATAGGTACGAAAGTAGCAACTATCAGAAACTAAATTTACGAATTTCTAAATTTAAATCGACTGTACGAACTATTCCATTTACAATATTTCTTTACAATGAATTATAGTGTACCGTTGATTCCTGCGACAGCAAAGCTGTTGCATTTAAATCTACGTATTTATAGATTATGGTTTCGTATTTATAAATGCATAATTTTTCTGCATAAATTAGAAATAAATAGCATCAATTAATAATTACAAAAATATTCAAATTTTTAAATAAAAAAATGTTTATCTAAAGCAAAGAATCATTTACATGTAGTTAAAATTAAATTTGAGATAATTGCGTTACTTGTCACAATAAAATATTAATTATTTAATTAAAAATATTATAATATTGCTTTACTAAATTAATTAATTAATTAAACTAAAATGTTAAATTTAACTAAAATGTTTAATCTTTCAATAAACTTTTAAATATACTGAGGAAAGTGTAAATACATATAATGTATACAATGTGATACAATTTATCATTTTTAATGATAAAAATTTATAGAGACATAAAGTAAGTTTTGATTAGTAGATGTTTTTAGAGTGGTTAGTAAATACCTTTCGATTAGTAGTTATTACGTAAGCCATAATATAATCAGCATTTCCTATGCGACTATGGCTTCGCTTGCATATTATGCTATTGCAATATATAAAATTATATATTTCCTATTTTTAGAATCTTACTCATGTAGATAATATTATCAGTATTAATAGTATAAAGAGAAGGTTAAAGAAAGCACGATTTTAGTAGAATTTTATAAGCAGAGTAAAAAACTGAAACTTAAAAAGTCTAAACTTTCTATAAACATATAGCATATTCGAATAAATGGTAATAAAACTTCAACTACGTATAATTAAGAGATTAAAACATAGAATATTTTAGTCTCAATACATTTCATCAGATATAAATTATATCATTATATTCAAATTCATATCTAAATTATATTATATGTTGAGCGCTTTGTATGTATGACATAATACCGCATTTTTTTAAATATTTATATTATATATATATATATATATATATATATGCAACTAGTCATCATGTATATATATATATATATATATACATGATGATTAAATCTAAAATCTAAATGTTCACGTCATTCCACTATCACTGTCAGAAATTTGGCGCGTTCGCCGTCGCTGATTGCTTCGCCCTCCAAGTCTCGCACAGTCTCGTGCGCGCATATTGCGTGGGTTCGTGTATACATCCGCACGCTACTTTCCATGTATACGAAGATTGTTCATGTACATGAAAGAAAAAGAGAGATGAAGAGAGGAAGAAGGAGAGAGAAGGAACGTGTGCGAAGGCCCCACCACGAGTCTACGTCGAACCCACATATCTACATACTAGCGCGGAGGAGGCACCTACACGCTCGTACCAATACCGACGAATACGCTAGACTGATATATTCAACCGCGTTGTTCTCCACGGCCTCTCACCACGGCAGTCTATTCCTCGCCACGATCGTTCCGTTCGCTGCTCGCGGGCTTCCTGATTAACGTTATCTCGCGTATTTCGGGAGGAAGAGTTCTGCGTATCGTTTGCCCTCGCACATCCAAACCACGCGCTTCCCGGTGAAAAGATCACCGGGAGTAAATCTTAAGGTGTCGGTCAAGGTAAAGAAAGCATCTCGTGGGCCCGCCGTGCCGCTACGGTGTCATTCGCGCTGGTGACACCGTTATTCCGTCCTTGAAGAGATACCAGTCGCGTGAAGAATACCTCGGGCTGCGCCGCAAAGTCGCAGTACGTTCACGTTCGTCAGATTGCTTCCTGTTCGCGTGCATCGCTGTGGAAGATTCCAAGCTGCGTACGAGAAAATTCGCCTTAGCCGGGTGAAAATAGCCCGTTGACTTCAGGGAGGACTGCGAAGAATCATAAGCCTTCGGAAAAGAGAGAGACAGAGACAGAGAACGGGGAAGAGAGAAGAAAAAGTAAGATTTTTGGAATTTTAATTGAATATGCAACATGCGTATGCTTCTATGCATTAATTAACATCAATTTGATCTGGCAGTTGTTTATAGCCCCATGTGATTAACTTGTTCATCAAATAGTCTATTCTCGTCACGAGATTACTAACAAAATGAAATATTTAGATAAAGAATGCTAGTATCAAATTTGCGATTTAACAATATTTTAAGAGATTAATTTTGACTTTTAAATTTAATCTTTCTATTATCACATTATTTAAAGTACATTTTAATATATTTACACATTTACTTCGATAAATATTTATATTTAAAATGTAATATAAATTGATTATTAAAATATTATATGTTTTTTTATGATATCAATTAAGTAATTGATGTGTGTAGATATTATTACGTTTGATCTTATTAAGCTATTATGCATAAAGCTGTTGTGCAAGAGAAAGTCATTGGAGGGAGATATATGCATATTATACGGAAACTAATCTGCATAAGATTAGCTTCTAATGTCAGCATAATTAGTTTTTCTTAGTAAAACCACTTCCTGGAAATAGAATTAAAATCTATAATTAAATACTTACAAGGGACCCTTACAAACTGCACAATAGCTACAGCATAGAGAAAATTATCCAAACATCTTGACTCCCTTTGGATCACTTTCCACCCAAAAATTAGACCGGAAATGAAATAAATATAAATAATAAAATAATAAAATAAATAGAAAATAATAAAATAAACGTTTTTAAATAAGTTTTCCCTACGACAAGCATCGAAAAATTAAAAAGAAATAAAATTTATTTTATCATTTTTTATTTATTTTATTATTTCATTATTTATATTTATTTTATTTCTGGTCTAGTTTTTGGGCGAAAAGTGATCCAAAGGGAGTCAAGATACTTGGATAATTTTCTCTATGCTGTAGCTATTGTGCAGTTTGTGAGGGTCCCTTGTTAGATAAATTTTGTAAATATTTTGTCGAATATTTTCAAGCATTCAATATAATGTATATACAATTAAGAATAAATTTAAAAACTATCTTTTATATTTGTAAAAAGTCCAAATTTTAATAGAAAAAAAGCTCTTCTCTTAATTACATTGTAAATTGTTTATGCATGTACAGACACTAGTTGTGACACTTTTTTTTCATAGTTTTTAATATATATTTAATATACTTAATATATAATATATAATATATTATTTAATATATAATATATAATATTTAATATATTTAATATATAATAGGTGTAAATTTTTTAATATATATAACATTTAATATATTTAACATATAATATAATATATTTAATATTTAATATATTTAATATATAAGTGTAAATTTGATAGGTAACTAATATTTTGCAAATGTGAACCACGATGGTATACTATCTTTAGTCTAAAGAGAGTACACCACTCGTGGTTCGCATTTGCAAAATTAGTGCGTTTTGAAACATATTAAAAAAAGTGTCGCAAGCGATATGTCCATATGCACATATGCGACTGTACATATGCAAATACAAAATAATGAAAACAGATTGTATTTCTTAAATTTTACAAGAAGATTTAAAACAATTAATAAAAACTATTTTTGAAAATTTTATAATTCTAAATGTAAAAATTATTATTGTGAATTATTCATTGCAAAAAGCAAATTAATCTTTGATTAAATTTAAACAGCCCTGATTTATAGATAATACTACGTATATAAAAATT